AAAAGAAGTTTGATTGGCTGTCAACAGTCTGAAAACTCTGAGAACAGATTCATATCTGCTGCTGTAAACACTCATCAGCTGCCTCCTTCTCTGTGGTTTGTGTTCTTTCTTGTTTTCTGTCAGCCTTGTTTCCACTCAGACCTCCACCTACACAGAGTTAAACTGGTTACAATCACCACCTGAAGCTCAAGTCCTGCTCGCATTTTGGAGTTTTTATAGGTTTATGTGATTAAAGATGGACGTTACAGTTTCCACTCTTCATGTGTGTTAACAGCAGTGTCATCAGCGTAGAGTTTTAAATCCACACTGACACAGTTATAAAAGATGACGAATACACAAAGTGAGTGATCAGAGGACACAGAACTGAACCTGCTCGTTTATCAACATCTGTTTGTTCACATAGAAAACCTCTGTGTTCATCTTTGCTTCAAATGGCTGAGCTCATGTCCCTGTTCAACTGTGTACCAATATTTTTATCTGTAGAAATGAATTACTGCAAACAACAGTCAGATTCCTTTTGGGGATTAACATAACACACCTAGACAACAATGTTATCTCCACTTTATTGAAAATGCTGGACTAAATAAATGTGAATGGTCTTCAACACTTTGAGTATATATATTAAAGGGAAAAACAAGAAGAAATAACTGTGATGTCTAATGCTGGAATATGTACAAGGCAGCAAATAATTCAGCTGAATTTGGTCTATGTCACAATTAAAATGTAAAAAGCAGAGTAAAGTTAAGAAAAAAACTTAAATATTTTATTTCTGTATCTAACTTCACATAGCAACCAAACACACTACATCAAAACCGACACTTGGGATCAATTGCTATAAAACTTACCAAAAGCTGTTTTATCAAACCCAAATATTGTAATGTTATCGTTTTTATTGATAACCCTGTTGCACTCTACATAATACTTCATAAAGAAACAATGACTCAAATATTTAAAAAAAACACTGTCCTGCAGAATTGAAACTTCAAAACTGAAAATATATATGTAAATATATGTATTTACACTTGTTTGACGATCAAACCTGTGAGTTAAGAGAAGTACTTTATAGCCAAGAACAACAAGTTAAAGCTGTCATTTCTTATCAGTGATCAAAGACATGAAGGAGATGTATTGATGAGATGTGATGGTGAGAAAAGGCCAGCAGCAAACAGTCAGTCAGCATGTGTGCAGTTGGTGGACGGTCCCTTGTTTGTGAGGATCATCAGCAGAGAGA